AGGAAACAATAGAGCATTTTCTTCTTCACTGTAATTTGTATGATACAATTCGAAAGGAGGTTGTTGAACGTCTAGATCCTATTAAATTGTCTATTGAACTTCTTATGTTGAACAATCGAACTACCAACACAGACAGTTCTCAGTTGATAATCGATTGTGTGAGCGATTATTTAAATCATCCTAAAAGCAAATCTGAACGTTGAAAGTTCAGTATTCAGCTTGTTTCATATACATCAAATATAGCATTATATGTGTAGATGGAAAAATGGATAGTATGTATGCTTGGTGTACTTTGAGTGGCTTGTGTAGTGTGGATACCTTGTATACTTTGGGTACTTTAAGTATTGTGTAATTTGTGTTGTTCGGGAACGATGTTAAATTTAATTCTTCAGCTGCATGATGCGTGTCAAACATATAGCATAAATACACCTTATTATAAGTATTTGCTGAAATTTTGATGTCATTCTGACTTGTCCTTGCAGAGAAAATCAATTTTTAGTTAAAAAGTCGGTGTTTTTAAGGCTTGTACCGGCGCACCTTGCTAGGCCACTGGAGCCCGAGAAAAAGCTTTGCCAGGGCTGAAAATGTTTTCATAGTCCAGGTTTGAAGTCTAGATGATATGTAAAACTTTCAGTTAAATCGATTGATATCAGTATTTTGATCACCTGAAGCTGTCAGACAATGGCTCTTAAATTACATTCTGCAGAAATACTGTTAGCAGCAATGTTTACATCTAATTGTGTTAGACAAAGTGAAATGAAAAATACGCCGACACGTGTAGCTGACTGTAGCATATTGTTGAGAAATGTATTCAACAGTTCCAATGGATTCCAACTTTCTTTACTACAGATAACCTTTGATGACCATCCAACGATAAAACCAATAAAACTGGTTATAGAAAATCCTAAGGGCATCGTAATCATTTGTGGCCAGAATAGGACTGATGGTTGAGTAGCAAATCTAGCATTGCCAGAAGTACTGATAATCATTGTAATAAAACTAGAAATACAAGTCGTCACCGCTGTAATCCATGCCCATCCACGAATACTAGTTGTTATTGTAGACGAAGTCGTTGACTGATGAAGAACAGGTGCCTTTAGCTTTCACAACAGCCCACGCAAAGAAAGGTAGACCGGCAATTGGACCAACAATTGCTTTTAATGTAAACAAATGACGCATCTTTTGTACTGCAAACCATATGGCAATATTTGATAATAACCAGAAGATAATAAATCCAAGAAAGTCCCCTGTATTGGTACCTGACGATGTAAGAAGTATATTCTATAAATGTAAAGTATATTGATACGACGGTACAACTGCACGAATACAAATGACAACACATTGTCCACGTACAGATCGTAACCGTATTATGACATCTTTGAGAACTTTATCTAAATGATTAAAAATAAATTGATAATAATATAATATAATAATAAGATTATATATTACATACAAACTATATATAATAACTGTTTAATTTAGATAGTTCTACGTATGTTTTCATAAACAAAATCGCTTGTGCGAAAATATTCGGAAGATCGCTTTTCTCAGAGATCATAAAAATTATTAGCATTGCAATAATAACGTGATTATGTAATTTTTTTAAACTTTTTCTTGATCTAATTAGAAAATAATATAAAATCAATACTGTTAAGAAAATCGATGGAATTTCTATTAGTACTATGACATAGATTTTTATTTGACGAATATATGGACTTTCAGTAGTTTGAGTCGGAGCTGAATCGTTGTTCATCGTCGAGGGCGATGCGTTGGACGACGACATAGTTGGGTGTAAGTTGCGACTGAAAATAAGTTATTATGATTAAAAGAAAAAGTGTTTTCTCTTTTCACACTCAGGACAACACTATTTTCTTCTCTTCGTTGCTTTTCTTTTTCAATTAAATTTATAGAAAATGAAGATAAAGAGAGAAAAGTGCAACAACATGGTGTACATTCTGAACATTTGGGAACAGGTATAGATGTCGAGACACCTACAAGTAAGAGTACTAATGGTTTAGAGCTATCTCCTACTGTTCCTCCTTTTTCTCCTCTTGCGTTCAAAATGTGAAAAAATTCGATATTGAATATGCGTTGTCTATTACTTGTACACTATTGTCAGACCTTCACTTTTGTCTTCTGTCGATATTGTTAGAGAATGGTATTCTTTTTCTACTCTTAATAGGTGTTTTCTCTTATGGAAATTGTATGAATGTGTGAATACGTTTTCCCTTTTATGAAATTTTATTGTTCGGCTTTTTAATGTTTGAGCACTCGAGGAACAATGACATGAAGTACTTTTTTTTTTATGATAGACTAAAGCCGGATTGTATGGTATTATTGGAAATTGGTGGAGGAGTATAGTTTTATTCAAAACATCATATCACCGGATCGAAAATTTTTAAAAGTTTGTTCAGTCAAAACCGATTGCAGAGTCGACTTCTCCATGGCTGATTAAGTGGTAAGGGATAGTTTCTGGATCGGAGTACTTTAGAAAAATTTTTCGACATCGTTTTGTCTTTGATCCCATACGCTGACTTTATGAAAACGTTGTTGAGTAAGATCATGGGAAAATTTTTTTCTAAAGTACCCCGATCCAAAAGTTATTGCGTAACACATAATCAACCATAGAGAAGACGAATCTGCCATCGGTTTTGACCAAATAAACTTTTAAAATTTTTCGATCCGGTGATATGCTTCCCTAATTTTAAATTGTTTTATCAAAAGAGTGTTGTTTTACTTGTTTTTCATGAATGTATTCCCTGTAAACGCGTGAGATGTGATATACCAAATGTATGTGTAGTAGATTTTCAGTTAGAACAAAAGATTTGTATCATAGGAGTGTATGCGCCTAAAAGTAAATCGTGGAAATGGGATGATCTTACTCAGTTCTATATCATCTTTGCACTACAAGTGCCACCTTAACTAGTTTCGGGCGGTCTTAAACCAGGGTCCTAGCATGAGGAAACTATATTTCGATTGGGACATACAACAGAGCAGATATCCCGAGATATCGGAGTATAGCCCGATTAGGATATCGATAAAAATATATCCCAATCGAGCTGTAATATCGCGAGCGGGATACATTTTTATATCCCATTTAGGATACATAGGTCGATCGGGATATGGTTCCTCACTATTTTGTGGGAAGATTATGGGATACAGATTATGAGAAAATTATGAGACACATTATTTCTATAGAGATCTGCACTATGATTTTGATTAGCCAGTGCAAAAAGAATGTACAGTACGTTTAGAACAAACTGAAATGTGAGTTATGGAAATTAGAGACAGTCATATGTCCACTGCAGATGGTTTAGTTTCACTGCAGAACCTCTAGTTTCCTGCTGTCTGATTGCACTTTTCTTCAATTCTCTTGCAGTTTTCCTAAGTTTCCCATAATGTCCTTCAGTTTCCCAGCAGTTTTCAATAGTTTCTAAGCTTAGACGCAGATAAACGAAAACCACACATGAACACATTACTTAACCCTGTTTGTAGACACAAGTTATTAGCGGACAGACAAATAGACACGTCAAGACATAATACGATAGTGATCAGAAATAAGAATTTAAGAACTGGGAATGTGCCTCATTTACCTCTCGCCTTGCAAGAACAACGATGATCGTCAGAACTGTCGTAGTGCTTCCTTGTTGCTGCTTATTGAGAATGTTCCTCAGAATGTAATGTGAACAAGAAACACAATTATTCTGTTGTATAGAAATAATTTGATACTGTCGATTTCTTTCCAGTCAAGGGCTCAGTGAATCAGGATGATGAACATTAAACCCCCTGTCATAATAGAAGACCTTTCCATATTAGAACATCCTTCTAGGAGAACGATGGGTTCAAATAAGGGTCTTGTAATGAATCATTTGGAACCTCTTTAACGTTTTTTGGATTTGCAGCAGCCATATATATTGAATTTAAATTTATTTAATTAAAAAAAGTGTGACATTTCAACTCTTCATAGAGTCATTTCAGAGAAAAATATAGAACACTACTGCACTTAACACTTGAAAATTTGTGAAAAGAAAGAAAAAGAATTTTGTATTGGTATAGTGTCTTACCGATGAATAGTCAGTATTTCTATTACCAGTCATTCTACACCCTTCTTTCACAACTTATTTTTGTCAACTTATTGTTGAATCGTGTCTAATGGAGAATGAAGTCACAATTCGAAATTCAAACGTGGAACCAAAATAAAACAAGTAGAATATAACTGCATTTCTGTACTATTCAAAAATCTAGAAAGAAATGCAAAAAACGTTTATGAATATTGTCCTAATAGGTGACAGAACCGCAGAACTGAATGAGAACATAAAACGTATATAGATGGGTAGTAATTCTTTTATACTTGGTCATGCATAGTAGATCCAAGGCAATCATTCAAAGTCAAAACCCCTATCCATAACTGTCAGTCAAATTTCTCATCTTTGTGTATGTTCCTCAAGTTTGCGTTGTTTGATCGTCTCATTTGAGCCTCTGAAAGAGATAACGTAAGAGTATTTTTCAGTGCGCCTACTGGTATCCTGTTTTAACACTGCAAGTTTGTATCAAACAGAAATTTTCATCAAATCTGAAGTCAAACAGAGAAACAACGTGACACGATATTACCGCGAACGACATTACCGCGAACGACATTACCCGCGAACGACATTACCGCGAATACAAAAACGACATTACAGTGAACGACGTTACCGCGAAGACTCGTTTATTGGAAAAGAAGAATAAATGAGCCTGGTTTTGTACTTTGTATATCATGTGGAGGGAGGTGGGAGGTGAGGAGAGGGCATTGTGAGAGTGAGTTCGAAAAGTATTTTCACATAAAACATATTATCGTGATGGGAAACTAGATATCTGTGGCTGTATCAGAT